TTCACCATCTTCACCTCTACAGGCTGCAGGTTCAGGACCTGCTCTCATCGACTTCCTCGAACGGAGGTCTCCCACCTCTCTCGATGACGACCTGCTCGTTGCAAGGGGAAGGGACCTGGCGCGCAGCACGAAAGCGCGGGACCGAGCAAGGTGGTTGTGGATTTCAAACGCCAAGGCTTTTAGAAGGACCTTCTAAAAGTCCGGTGGTTGTGGGAACCCTAAGTCCGGTGGTTTCTGGGCACTTCTTTGTCAGGAAACACCTCGACTGGAGGGTCCAGGTGGAAGGTCTATGGCCTTTTGAAGTTCATGTAGATCCCAAAGAAATTCTGCACCCGCCGTTTCAACTCGGGGGGAAATCGATGTCGCATTGGTTCTGAAGAAGAATTTTCCAGATCTGTCAAGGTCCACCGGTCCAGAGTCCAAACAAATACAAGATATGTGCATTTTCCAGATGTCAAGGGTCCCCATCGTTGGCATTGCATCCATGGTCCCCCAGATGTCAAGGGTCCATGTCAAGGGTCCCCCCAGATGTAAAGGGTCCCCATCTCTATTGCAAATCCATGGCATTTTCCAGGTTTTGGCCCTTCGTTGGGCCGCCCAACGAACCAACGGGGCCAGCTGGCCGGAGCTCCGATTGCATCGACACATTCAAGCAACAAAGCTTCCTGGTCTTTGACTGCTTCCCAATCATCCATGGGACTGGAAGAGCTACACATATTCACCCCATCTATGACCCGAATGTATATTATATACCATATATCAAGTGCTGGAACCGGTCCATACATGATCATACATGGATGGTCTGGGGTTGAACATCATCTCCGCACAAATCTTTCATGAGTCAGGTCCAACCGGACGCGGGAAAGCACGCGGGAAAGCATTCCAAAGGGACCACATGAAGTGACAAATGTTGTAACCTGATCGAATTATCTACTGTACAGTACCATGTATGCTCCGACAAGTCTCAATTGGTGACCTGTTGGAGGGTGCTGGTACAGGTTGCTGTTGCTGTTGCTGGTGCTGGTGCTGTTGTTGTTGTTGTTGTGGTTGTGGTGGTGGTGGTGTGAATGTTACGTTTTAATGACTTTCCAAACCATGCAATGTGAACCGATGGTTTTTTTGGAGCTACAGTCTTGCCTTCCTGGCGGGTCACTCTAGGACCTGGTTGAAGCTGGAACCTTTCTACTGTGATTTGTACAAACATGGCATCCTGGGATGAAGTAGATGGCAGTGGGTCAAAAAAAAAGGGACCCTGGTTGACCTACCAGGGTTTTGAGCTCCAGGTTTTGACTGCCGAATCAGAACTGGGCAACATCTCCGTGTTAATTCCCTGAGGCTTCTCGCGAGCTTCAGGTTTGTGCCTCTGGTGACTCTCGATCAAAAAACCTCCCAAAATGGAGATGTCTTGAAAGGGGGTTATCCATGAAAACTCAACAGTCTATCTTAAATCTCTCTGTCTAAGTAGGCATAGCAAGTTCCTGCGGGTACTGTTCAATCACTTCACCCGTGCCCACTGACCTCCCACGCCCAGGATCCATCTTTTGACCACCACACCTCTGCAGTGCCGCCGGAGGCCGCGCGCGAGCCAGGGTTGCTCCCGGGGGCGCGGCCGCCGCTGGACGAGCTGGTGCCGCCTGCGTGGTTCAAGCCACTTGCGGAGTTCGAACCCCACGGGGTCATGAGAACAGTTGCATGGATGGGTAATGTTCATGGAGTATGTATTAGGTCTATCAGACTACCACTAGCAGTGGATGATGATGGTTAGGTTGCCGGCCTTTCTCAATATATATATATATAGATTATAAACATGTATAAAATCAAATAGCTGATAGGACCTTTTGCCGATTCTTACAGGTTTACAGGTTTGCTGGCCCAATGTATGCACCTCCTGGGCTCCTGGCCGCTCACCCCGCCCCCGTGGCACCTACCCGGTCACCACCGTGAACACTGTCCCCTCCACGACGTCGGTTCCGGACCACGTCACGTCCAGTCGGCCCGAGGTGTGTTGGGTGGAACATACGCGATGTTTAGGTGGAACACGGTTATATATATCTACAGTATATTATATATATACAGTAGATATATACATATTATATATGTACAGTAGATATATACATATTATATATGTATATGTACGGTTCGTGCTTTGTGAGGAAACTCCCAAAAATAGAGAGATGGAAGTCTCGGTGGACCAGGCATTCACCCAGTTCAGGAAAACCTTGTGTCCACCAAATCTGACCGTTCGCAAGACATCGCAAGACTGCCCGTGCCACCGTGCATGACCGTGCCGTTCTCATCATCGCCCCTGACCTCCATTTGGCCAAAGCCAGCAGTGCTGCTTGTCGCTGTACTAATCAGTTCGTGTGCATGGGACTGCAGGAGTTGACATGAGTTGACATGAGTTGACTGAATTTGAGTCAACACAAACTGCAAACATGTAGGTGCTTTCGTCATCATTCATCTGATTTCGAGCTTGAGGGTTTCAGCAGCAGGCTCGGGTCATGAAGGTACGATCAGTCATGCTGGTGACTTCCTGCAGTGGCACGTCATGGCATCATGGTGCACTGGTGCGTGCCACGATGCGCTCCTGTTCTACCTTCGCACGGATCAGGAGCCGAGAAAAGCGCTATCGGATCAGGAGCCACGCATCTCGGAGAACTCCTCTCATGCACAGCTCTGTAGTCTCGAATCCCAAAAACCCACCTCTGAGGTCCTGTTGATTCTCAATGTGTACACTATTGAATTAAGCTTGGATCATCCACGATACAGTAATTTATTAATATCCCCTGTGACTATCTGTGGCCTACTTCAATGTTTGCATGTTCAACATCAACTGGCTTTTCTGGAGCTGTTGATTCTTGTCTCTTTGTTGTATTTTTCCCTTGTTGTCAGAGATCTGCGATCCCATCGAAACCAGTTGACCGAAACACCGGTGTGACAAGACCTCCCGACCGGACATACGCTCCCTGAAATCATAATGGTCACATCTGGATGGAAGACGGACCCATCTACGGAGGACCTTTGAAGACCGAGGTCTAGCACGATCCATGATCTTTCATGAACCTTAAAACCACGGAAGACCAATGTGGTGAGGGTGAGGTGAGCAATCGCAGCATCCAACTGGCCCCTCTGGCGAAGAAGAAGACCTACCGAGTTCGAACTCGGGAGATCAACCTCATACCCGGGCATGTGCTGCCAACACATCTTCTTAGGTAGACTCTACACTCCAAACACATCACATGGTTACGTGGATGAGAAAACCACTTGTTTGTAAAGGGAAAGTCGTCGTCTTCCTTTCAGGACCATGCCATCCACGCTTTCCATGTGATGTGGGACTTGTCAGAGTGTACCAAGCAGGACCCGTCCTCCACGTAACCAACCCTCACCTCATAAGGCCGGTGTTGGTTTCATCTGGCCCCAGCCATCCGGGCAAGAATGGCCATCCGGGCAGGCAAACGGATATGACCGGTGAAAAGCAACACTCAATTAGGTCCCAGCACCCTGCTTGTTTGCATGTTGCATGTGTCTGCATGTGTCCTGGTATCATAGAAAGGGAGTTGCTTTGCAGGGTGCAATTGATGTTATCCAGGTAGGTCTGGACCTTCAAAACTTACGACCACATGTGCCAGGTTTGAAAAATTTGACATCGTAACATGTGGTTTAAGATGGAAGAGGTGATTATGGTCAAAAACTTTTGTGCAAAACCCCAGTGGGGATCTTAGTATAGTAAGATTTGGATGAACTTGCCTCCACAGCATGTGAGAGAAATCTTACGATGAGTGCAAACGAGTTGAATCCGGCTGCACAATGTTGCTGTCCAGGCTTGAACTATACCCAAACGTTTGTCTGTTGCAAAATGACACAATTTTGACTGTTCTCGATTTCCACCACTTCAGTTCTCAGGCTGGAGAAAGCAGCCAAATAGATACCCGAGGGATCCAGTCGTACCTTCTCAGAAGGTGATTAGAGACAATGTTATGTTATGCAGGTTTGGAGGGTCCCTACACATATGATTATCAATAATTCTCATCAAATCATGGCTCATATTCACAAGACACGTGAGTTGAACATCACTGCAACCCCTGTTCAATTGAATCTTGAATGACCAAACCCATTTTGCACCATCTGTCGGGTTCTCGTGGTTCACTTTGTTCACTCATCAATTGGGGTATATATAATATATATATATACATATTACATTCTTACATCTTACCAGTAACCCTACAGTAGGGCTCCAACCATATCCTCAGTCAGCTCCCGCCATTTTGTCCGAGAGCATCCAAAGCATGGCCAGGGGTCGAAGAGTCTGACTACTCCCTCTTGTTTGGTTCAAACTCTATTCAGCATAACCACAGTGGCCGGAGGCACACACGCCATATAAATCTATATAATTGTATCCTGCTCATGATCCACATCTGTGGGTTGACTGGTCATCATCTTCCCAGACTCAAAGAGTCTGCCTCCATCAGTTTCCCTGGAAGGTTAAGCATGGTGAAGCAAACGAACTCCACCTGTTCGTATCTCCCTTGTGGTGTGTCCTTTTTCTTCTCCCAAAAGAGGGTGACATGCGGGTGATCCACTTTGAACCCACTTCTCCTGGGTAGGATGACATGCACTGACGTCCAAAGACTTCCGACCCCTGCCACCATCTGCGCAGTCTGTACATCGCTGGGTCTCCCCCGGGGCCACACGGCTTTTCCATTCGGTTTTCCACACCTCGATGTTGGTCGAGACTATGTCTCACTGCTGGTCTATGTGTGGCTTTGTGGCTTGTGAGACCCATGATGACCCTTGTGGCACACAACTGTCGACGTGTGTGGAAAATGTCGATCCCACACATGATCACGTTCGTCACCAGCCAGGCTGGTTTGGTGCCGGTCGTTTGATAGCTTTGTGATGGTATCCGTGGTATCCAAGCTTTCACACCTTTGATAATATACAATCTTCATCAATCTTCAGATGATGAACTATGTTTCCCACACTTTCTCGACAGACCTAGCTCAGGAATATCCAGCTTCCATCTTCACATCTTCTTCCTTTTCAGTTGAAGAGGCTGCACCCAAAGACTGCCCGGGGTCGGCAGCAACGGTGACCTTCTTGTAGATGTTGATGTAAGCCTCGATGCAGGATGCGCTTCAGTGAAATGAACGGATTTGCTTGCAATAAGGAACCGGAAAGCTAAGGAATAGTCTCCGATTTGTCAGACGCCCCCAAGTGGCACCCTCGAATTTGTCTCTTCCGGACAATTCGGGTATAATACAACGGGGGTGGGGGGTTCAGGGGTCAATGCGAGCAAGAACATCTGTTCTGGTTGGTGGTTTCAACTCATTTGAGGAAAACTAGTCAGTGGGGTTCAATCATCCCAAGTACTTGAAGGTTAAACCCAGTAGATATACAGTGAGGATCAGTGAGGCCTGCAAAGAAAACTCGACCTTCCTAGTGGACTGCGCTGTGCTTCTTGATGCGCTGTGCGGCAGTTTAGGAAATGACAAAGCATCGTTCCGCACAGGCCATCCAGGCCTCTTAGACCTTCCAGGCCGCTCATATTTGATATACCAAGACCATCCTGTCTGGGTGTCCTGGCTGGAGATCCCTAAGTAGTGTAGGGTAGTCCAGCCAGGACACCCAAACAGGATGGTTCTGGTGGGTTTTCGTTCCAAGGTTGTCGGGTGCTGTTCCAGATCTGGTCGACTGTCTGCGGGGCTTGGGAGGAATCTCCGACCAGAAGCTGAGTCAATCCGAGCACAAGCCTGAACAGGTCCGTCCGTGTGAACTTGCTAAGCAGTTGATCAACAGCCGGTCTGAGTCTAATTGGTTCGTTAATGATTACAAGTCTGACGCTGTGTGTTTGTTTGCGGTCAGTGGTACAAGAAAGCACGCTCTTAAAGGTTGGAAGCGAAACACAAAAGAGTGTGTAAGCCCAGCTTCCGGTGGCATCAAAAACACATTACTATTTGATCTCATGAGCAAGTGCATACGTCTCAGAAGATATTCTCCTGACATCTCCTGACTATTCTCCTGATATCGACGAGGACGAGGACATTTAGCACAATTACACCAAAAGAAACCATCAAGGTGGATGGCTATCTACTGAATCTACATGGTTCCATCTTTTTTCGCCAACTTCTCTGCCGTCAGGCCACGATCTGTGTGTCAGCCTTGCCACCGCACAAGTCTGTGCTCATCCCTGCGGGAGGCTTCCGTGGGTCGGGCTTCGGCCGATTGAACAACACACGCAGCCACCAGCCAAAGCAGTTTGGACAACATACTGTCACAAACAAATCCAATCAGAGGGACAACACATACAAGTACCAAGTTTATAATCGGATTTGACGGACAACCAAATTGGTCTGTGTGCAGCTCTACAGTTCCCAAAGACCTATACCAGGACCATCCGAGGGGTGTCCAATGGAGATCCCTAAGTAGTGTAGGGTAGTCCATTGGACACCTTTGGATGGCCCTGGTATATAGCATATTATATAGCATTACTTAGCGACCAGTTGACTGGCTGAAAAGGAATTGATGTAGGCATACGTTCCAGTCCCGTAGGGTGTGTGGTGTAGATCATGACGGTTGATAAGGTCTGGAAAAAAAAAAAACACAGGCAACATGTACCAATCCTGCCCGCCCCAAATCATGGCAAGTCTTGTCCAGTGTTCGTCCGGGAGACGCAAATGGTTGTGAACACTCTAGTCTTTGGAAGCTACTAAAAGCATCTAAATGCCGTTGCAGGCGTATAAAAAAATGTGCATGACAAACGGCGGAAATAAATGGAAATCCCCTTTTTGGGGGAACTGAATAGTGCTGATGATGTAGCTTGAAAAACATCAAACATGTATTGGACATCACGGTTCATTCAGAACTCTTCCCCCTTTTTAACACAGCGGAGGAGCAATCCCGCACACCTCCCCTTTCCCTAGGTGTTTTTCCGGGCCAAGCTCATGTTCATCTGAGGATTTCCCGAGCATGAACAGAACAGTATTCAAGGGAACAGTTGGGTTCAGATTTCAGCGTACTTCAGCCACTTTGAACACACTCAGTTCATTCAATAAACTTTGGTTCGGTGTCATGTCCTAGAACCGGTTTGGGCCCCGCCGACCACCGGTTGCCAGCACTGTGCAGGTAAGTTGTGCATGTTCCACACCCATGTGAGGAGAACACCCTATCTGCTTAAGGAACCGGGGAAAAGTCAACAATTTCCCAGAAGGGGATTGAACCCTAGGGCCTATAGGGAACGAACTAATCACTTGATCCGCAAAACCAGGTTTGTCATGGTTTGTCAATCTGTTGCCCTGAGCTCCCTGGGCTCACTCATGGCTCCTCTTCGTTTCGCCTGTCATATCTTTCCAGCTCACAAAGCTGACTTCATCATCATCAAAGAGCACCCACTGATCATCCTGCCAGGGCTGTTGACTACTCCGACTCGGCGGACATTTCTCGGGGAGACCAGCACACATCTGAAAAGCTTTGTAACTCAAATCCCTGACGTCGACCTCTCTCATTCTTTTCTCCGTGGTTTCAGGCTGGAGGAGTTGTTCTGAAACAACATCCTCTTTATAAGCTTATCTCACTGACCTATCCGAGCTTTCTTGAAGAGATTGAGAGAGACCTCACTGGGAAAAGCACACACCGAAAGACATACGGAATACCATCCTCAAAAACGACACGTCGAGGGTTCACACCAGAAGGAGACGCCCGCCTTGAGGTCCTTGCCATCGGCCTTCTTGTGCAAGGTCCATCCAACATAGTGGCCTCCATCGGCCTTAGAAACTGTGTGTTAAGCGTATTTGAGCGCCCCTGGGGTAAAAAGCGTGGTGAGTTTCTGCTCTGGTGGCCGCTGGTCGGGGGTGCTTGTGTGCGGTTCGGTTGGTTGCTGTTTTCTTCTCTTCTTCGCAGGCGTGCAAAGTGGAAGACTTAAGGAGAAGCTCGGAGTGGTTTCAGACTTGGTAGAGCTTTGTCCAAGTGTTTCAACATCAACCGTCCAAGCGTGTTCAGCTTGTGGATTTTGACAAGGGGTCAAACTATCTGTGGCCGGTTGGCGGCTTGGCACAGCCATGCAAACAGAGTGCTTGTCTTCCAAGGCTTTGGTCAACACCAAAGGTTGTCCAATCAAGATCTATAGTGTAGAGCCCTCTTTGTGAGACATGCCGAAATGGCTACAAATATTATGCTACAGTAGCTACAGCTACACTATGCTACACTTGTAGTCAATTAGTCACCATGATCGGACCTGAAAGCTGAACCTCCGAACCTCACACGCTCGGCGTCCTTGGCCCCAGGTACGGTGCGGCCCTTGTGCGAGATGATCCCCACCAACCTGAGTTCAGTGGGGCGATGACCCCCGAAAACAGGGCTGGCAAAGCGGAAGAACTCGGTATGGAATGGGTTGAGAGAAGGCAGGGTCCAAAGCTCTTGCTCATTCTTGGGTCACGCAGTCAGGACTTAACTCAGTACAAATGAGTAGAATTCTGACTCTCCCAAGCTTTCCTCAGCTCTGCTCATTTGGCCTGGCCATGGTTCCAACATGTGCCATCCCTTGTCAAGAAACCTCGGACTGTTGGTCCAAGAGCCCAAGAGTCACTGCTTCACCCCACGCGTCCCCATTCCCAGCCGCTTCCAGTGCGGCCACGCGTCCGTGCGACCGTGCCGAACGGGGTGGTACAATCGAACATGGTCCAAGTGTCCAAGCCATAAATGGCGACGAATTTCGTTTGTTTTGCATGACGGTGAAAGGCATGACGATGATCATTTGCCACTCCTGTTCTCCAAATTATATCCGGTTCAAGTCCAAAGATCTGTACATAACAACTATTTGGGCAAATAGTAAGCCCCCAAGCGTCGTTTCAAGCGGTTGATTCCCCTTTGACCAAGGGGAGAGACCGCCAGACAATGGCACCCACCAACCGCGGGCGCCAGGCAACTGGTAATAGCCAGTGTCCAGCTCCTCCACGCCCACCGCAGCCGCTGCTGCTGCATCCTGACACCGGCGGCAGCCGCGTCGCGTCGCGTCCGAGGCATTTGGCAAGAGAGCGAATGTTCAAGCCATCCTTCTATGCCCTATCTGGGCAGGTTCCTTTTTGGATTGCGTATACTATAAATCACTGGTCTTATTGGAGCATTTTTTTGGCTCAAACATCTTTATCATCTTCTGTTCTCATGTCCTGGGAGCAATGGATTGATTGCAAATCATTTCTCTTCTTTATATATGTATTTTTCTCATTAGTGACTCAGTGACCATTAAAATCTTGCATGTATATTTATATATATATATAGTTATATGTCAATTAAACACATGCCATACTTGCGGGTGGATCCAACACATGCCAGGCATGTCACGCGCCCTCGCTGGCCTCCACGGGCTTCATCTCGACATCTTCATCCTTGGCACCTGCAGGCGACGGCGGGCTCAGTGGTGGACGCCGCGACCAGTGCCGGATGTGTGGATGGGTTGGTTTGAGATGGCTCTTCAAGTCCTTCTTCTTGGTGTAGAAAGGCAGGGAAGGTACTCAACCCTGTCAAACATGGATATTCATATATAATCCCCTGCTCACTGAGGCAAGCATTGACAGCCCTGCAGGTGTTGCATACATCGCCTTCTCACTCGAGGCATGAGCGAGTTGCCGACCGACCCGATTGGCCAAAGACCGGCCGATGAAGCAGCATCAATGACTGTGACTATGTTTTGTGGAAGGCTTCAAATTGGCAACTTGCAACTCTTTCCCCTTTGAACTCTGCAAGACGGTCAAATCAGAAGAAAAGGTGACCATTGAACGTCCCGCACTGGCAACGCGACATAGATGTTATAAGAGCCGGTGAGAAGAACATGTCATTCCTCCTGAAGTATTCCATGCCATGCCCCCCTACCATCTGAGGGAACCTGTTAACCAAAGAACAAATCCAAGGAACGTCTGCAACAAATTGAAATCCTAGACTCAGATCATTGTTCTTCCACTTCATCCTTAAAACATGGCCACACGCACACGTCTCATCGCTCATGCTTTCATATCCGGTCCAAGAGTCTCGAATTCCCCATCACACAAAGTGGTCCAACGTTCTGGCAAACCGGTTTGCCAAAACACATCAAAAAGCACCAACGCTCCGGGCCAGCAACGTCCGGGATTCTTCAACCAAGACACTCTTGTCCAAGGCTTTCTTCAACCGTTCCAGTTCAGCATCTTCCACCTCCTTCTTCCGCAAACGCCCCACCTCTTCCGCAGCTGCTGGTTTGGGTGCAGGTTTCTGCCGTTCCCTGCGTTTTGTGGGTGACATTTGTGGGTGTTTTGCATGTCATTGTTCCAGAAGTTGGTAGGGAAACTGGCATGGAATTGCAGGGCTCACGGGAGTGGAATCAGAAAACAACACTCTTTACGAGTGATGCCATTCACATCATACGGCGGGGATCCAAACTGCTTGCAAACTTGTAGCTTTGCTTTAGCTCCAGAAACGCAAACGATTATATACATACAACAAAACAAACACATAACATACATAACATTCGTTGAAACTCTAGCGGAATGTCAGTTGTAAGTTATAACCAGATGTATCGCAATGTTTTTCCTCGCAAATTAACGGTGTTCTCGGTTGTGTATAAGTCACCCGAGAGAATGTCTTGCCAACCAGTTGATGAGCAACTCTCAATGTGTTGATTTCCCTGAACGCCACGTTCATGTTTTAAACCCAGTGACACCACTGATGGGTCTGTGATGGGTCTGTGGGCCACAGTGACTACTATACACATACAGTGGTTCAGTTGGAAGCTGAATGGAGGCCTATGACAAAGCTTTTCTTCCGGACTTCACCGAGCAAAAACCCCGCGGAATCCGCGGGTTCGGGGTATTTTTGGCCCAAGGCTTTGGTCAATTGAAGAGTGCATGAACACAGTACCACCAGTGGGTTCGGCAGGACCTGACCCCGGGGGGGCGTCCGGGACGATGTCCAGCGCTTCCGTTTCGAAGCGTTCCATGTCGACCGTCTCCGGTTGTGGTGCACCATCTCCCAAATGTTCGTAGGACATGAAGGCGATATTGAGGCAAACCCAGCAAGATCGGGTGACTGATATGTGTGGTATGTGGCATAGCGACTCCATTCTTGGCATGGCGACGGGAGTTGGGTGCTTCATTGGACACCTCGAGTAACCTCCATAAGGGATTTTTCTTAGACATCCGGAGCTTCCGGGGGCAGGGGGTGCTGGTAGGGAAGAACGCTCTTCATCTTTGGCTGACTCTTCAGCAGAGTTGCATTTTTTTGCGGGATTCGCAGATTCCAAGTCGTTCGGCTATGTTTGTCTTGGATGTGCGAATGTTTGGAACCGGCTATAAAGCTACAACCATATCCCAAACACTCCATGGATGGGACTTGCATATATACCTGGTGTGGCTCCGGGGGTATATGTAGGATTATATATCTATATTCCATACATGGATTTCTGGGTATTAATTCTTCCAATATGTCCAGTTTCCGGGATTCACCATGACCCCAATCAAAAAGACCTGCAGTGCCGAAGAACATGTGCACACAACTTTTTGGAGTGCCGAGTAATTCGGTCAGTGCCACCAGACCAAATGCTGGATTTGGGCCACGTCTCTCCATTCACGGGGTCTCACAGTCGCTTCCGCCAGAATCAACAAGGCAATGGCTGGCCACAAAGGAAACGATCATCCGGTACAAACAACATTGAGCTTGGACTGACAACAAACAAACACTCTGTTGCCAACAGGCTTAAAATTGGCTTAAACGTTCTTGTGTAATCTTGTGTGTGTTGTTTTGTTGAAATTGGTGCATTGATGGCCAACAGGTACAGTTCTATACGGCCACTTCGTAACAAGCTGTACTGGCGGTGCGTGGAACGATGTCTCGGCCCAGCTACCGTCTACCACCTTCGAAGCCTTTCGCTTTTGCATCGAATGGAGGAGGTGCCAGGAGAGAATTGAAGCTGGGAATGGGTGAGAACTTCAAACCATGAGGCCTTTTTGGGGACCGAACCCTTTGAGCAGAACAGCTTTGAACACACGAGTCGATCAAATGAATCGATTTGATCGTTTCTGAAACATGTGAATGGCAAAGGGCTCAGTCCCAGCCCGGAACAGAAAAAATGGCTGTTGAAATTAAAACACCGAAGCGACAGAAGCGTCGACCTTGACGACCTTGGCGAAATTGAAATCGTTGATTCCCACGCCAAGCTACGTCCAACGAATGGACCACATCTCTAGTTGTTCCTTAGAGCCATCTTCTGGACATAACTTTTAACCAAGTCGTTGAGCTTCTTCGGGGCAAAACAAATCAAACTGCTGAAATATGTGGTCCAAAAACGTCCAAAAACTAAACATTTATCGGAATCCTGTACTATATCAATCTGTAACATAGATGCGCCGACCAAGCACCCGAAAATGATCAAGGGCACCAGCGTACAATCAAATGGACGCCGTTTCTGGCTGCAGTAGGCTGGTCAAAGGCTTGCTGACCCAACAAATACAACGCGTGCAGCAAGAACACTTGAGGGTAATCTACTCCCTGTTAAGGAAACATTGGGGAAACACGCAAATCCGTGTCGTCAGCATTAGCACCAACCATAAAGGAATAGGCATTAGCACCAACCATAAAATCATAGTCAAAGAGAATATGTTCCTCTGTGTCAAACGGTCTGTCTCAATGTTGAGACAAAGCTGCTGATACACCATTTATATCTTGCACAAACCCCGTTCCGGGGAGTATCACCATGTGGTCCCTTATGGTCAGCTCCTTGGAGGGTCTAGTTACTATGGCGACGGCTTCGACCAGTTCTCTTTAGGGTGTGTCGCAGTATCCGTTGCTTCAGCCCCTTCTTCAGACTCAGCGATAAAGCCTCGACACAGCCGTTTAGATCGTTAAGGCACAGCCGTGGCACAGCCGTTTCGCCCATGGTATAGCGCCTGGCTATTGAAAAAAGGCAGCATCTGTTCTCCGATGTCGAGGGAATTGGCCAAATGGTCGGATCGGTTTCAAAAACCTTTCAGACTGGACAACGTATCAACACCAACCATAGCCTCCCCCCAGAAAGTGTCGATGATAAATACCCTCGGGACATCTCACTCTGACTCACTGAAATGAACATGAACATGCCGCACACAACGCGTGTCAGCTCTCATGGTACGGCAAATTCAGGATAGCAAGTTACATGCACCGTCTCTTCACCACACGGCATGATGCGCGAAAGCGCGCGTTCAGGGTCCATGTGTGGTGGGAAGGTGCAAACAAGCGCCTCATCGGGTTGGTGGTTGTAACTCGCGAACCCCCAAAAAATGACTCAATGGCCAAGTAAAGGTACTTATTATCTACAAAACCACCACCCAGCTCATGGCTTTTGAAGCATTTGGATCACCTGTTCATGAGAACCATAGAGGTCAGCCTCCTCTGCCAGCATCACCTGAACATCAGCGATACGAGCGCGAAGGTCAGGTCGTTCACTGGACCGAGTCCCAAGCTATGAGGCTACGAAAACGTAGGTCCCATGTCTAAAATGTCAGCTTCCTTTTATTCGATTCTCTCAGATAAACGCTCATGTCCGATGCACTCTTTTACGCAAAGTTCACACTTTTATTGGATTCTCTCACTCTCTCTCGCTCGCTCTCTACCTCTCTCTGTGCCCTGCCGGGGATTGTGTTTTGGCTTTACACTTTTGTGTGCAGGTGTAAATCTCTTTAAGACTTTCCAAGGCAGCGAGGCATCTCTAGAGCTTCTCAAAAGAATAGATTCAGGGAAAAGAAGCAATGGATGACAAAGAATACAAACTGGAAAACAACATAGATCCTACAGCAACAACTACGGCAACCAGATTGGACCAGATTCCTCGCAGTAGGAAAAGGAGCAAAAAGGCAGCCAAATTCCCTTACTACATAGGTTTTGATTCCCTTGCGTGATCTGACACCTATCTTATTGGATTTGGGATTGGGAGGGTCTGGGGCGTCTCGAGGGAGCCTGTCAATAGCTATTTTGAATCGAACGATTGAACACATCGGCGTGGAAACAGGACCTGAAAGTTTAGGGTCTTGCCTCCAAAGCCTAAAGTATACCAAATCGCTTGCGCTATTCTTTTTTGTGGTCTGTTCTTATTGAGATGTGCTATAGACTTTCCATCAGCTGGTCATCACGACTCGGGTGGAATGATCAGCTGCTCTCCAGGCCAGGACTGTTCTCCATGGGAAATCCTCCGAGCCAAGAGGAGGACTGATCTCTCTGGCGCCGAAAGAAGATGGTGCAACACCCACAATGCATTTGTTTGGGTTAAAGAAAAAAGCGTCCTGCAACAGATTGCAACTTGCTACATTGTACGAGTCACGCCAGCCTTAAGATATGCTAATCTAAGGCCTGACAACGGCCCCCCCCGGAAGCTTCAGGCTTTTCATCCACGCGGAGGAGGCCCGGGCGGTTCCACCCCGACCGTGGGGACAGCAACGAGGACGAGAGCTCAGACGAGGATGACTTTTCAGCGGAGGAAGAAGGCTCTTCGGCAGTGGAACCAGCAAGGGGAGATTGGCACGTCGATTCAAGCCTGAAGGTCAAAGCGGGCGAGAAGGGTCAGTGATTCAGTTGCTGCTCAGACCAGCAGCGAAGTGATGGCCGAGCAGGAGGACCTCTCAACACATGGTCCAGGTAACGACATTTTGGCAAGTGGCCCTTCGATCAAAGCATGCGGCTTCACACCCCACTATGCGGGAAGATACAGGAACTGTTCTTCTACTAGCAAACACGATAGACCTGATCAGAGGAGGAAACCTCTTAGGAGCATTCGACCGCACTGGTAGGCGTCAAATGCGAAGGCCAAAATTGAACCAACGATGCCGGATCAACCGCGACAAAAGGCCACATTCTTTGCGGCTGGTGCTCGAGCTCCGTCCGCAGTGTGGGGAGGAGGGACAGCTTGGATTTGCAGCTCCCAGGAACGGGACACAAATTGGAAAAAAGAAACACATTCACATGAATGTCATCATGGAAAAAACAACATGAATATATGTCATCATCTTTCCATCTATATTCACAAGTTTCGGGGACGTCAAACCCCGGCAGCGTCAACTGCCACCTCCACCCACCACTGGGCGGTCACTGGGCTTCCCGGACCGCTGTGCGGCCCTTGGACGTTTCGACGTCGGGGTCTGCACCCGAGGCCAAGAGCAGCACCACGAGGTTGAGATCTCCCAGTTGTGCTGCCAAGTGGATGGGATAGAGACCTGGGAATGTCGTTTGAAGTGGAAACTCCATGTATACGCCTCCTGGAATGAGACTTGGAATGAGACCTGTCATGGAAACTGAAGTGGAAACTCAGGTCATATACGCGTCCTTGCTCGCTCCGTTGGAGTCGCGATGCCCAACATGTTCCCTTCGTAGCGAACCTTGTTCCTAGTAGTAAGGCCAGGAGCCCCTAGTAGCGTCCTGGATGCTGGATGAGACCCAGAATGTCATGGACACTTATGGAATATTGAGGTTCTGCTGGGCCCCCTTTCTCCATCTTTTTCCCCCCCCACAACGATCGAATCGATCGATAGTCCAGCCCAACGAAACTTCCCTTGAAAAGGGGTAGTACTGGGGCGTTGCTATGTACCAACCATCATGAACATGCACCCCGTATCATTCTATATCATTCTATATACTGGATTCCTAGACGGTGATTCTCGGCTTGAACACAAAACAAAGTGGTAAAGTTCGAAGATGTTGCAAGTTCCAAGTTGTTCGCAAATCTGAGAGGTCACCAACAACAAAACCCCTCCCCCATTGGCTCTCAAAAACGAGCCCAAAGCACCCACAAAGTAAATCTGAGGGACAAAGGTTTGAAACATACTGGTGAATTGGGAGGAAAGATATGGAAAGATCCCAGGGGAGGATCCTTTTCCATCCTCTTTCTCTTGTTTGACTTCATTATCTTCATTTGGGGTCCAGTCTGGACGCAAAAGCCAGGGCTCCTATGGGTTCCTGATGGTTCCTGCACGGTCAGTTGTTGAAATTCAGTTCAGGTCCTGACTCGACTTGGATGGTGCTCGGAGGAAAACAACATGCTTCGGAACAAACTTGGATCCCCAAATCTGTCCAGCCATGTTACACCACCTGTACTTAATTTCCGGCACCAACTCACATGGTTGCTTTCCAAAACTCACCTGAACTTCCTTTCAATCAGGAGTTTGTGATGGAATTGTGTTCCCTTTTTCTCTTCTCCTGCGGACTTCTGTAAACCAAAGGGCTCTCTCTGGGAAAGAAACAGCCACCACCTGACCGAGCAGTCTGGGCATCCTTGAATCGGTGCTTCCGCAAGAAGCCCTTCAAGTACATTCTCTCCTTAGCCACAAGAGATGCCCCAAAACACTTTGCATAGGAGTCCAATGATGGAAGTCCTTGACAATTGAGTTTGAGGTATATAGAGACGGTTCGCTTTGCACATGCAAAGGCATAAAAAACACACAATGAATTGCCAAAAGAGATTTTCTTCGGTCTGACTTGTCCATCAGAATCACGCGTGTGTATCCCAGGTCCCAAAAATTTATATGTACCCTAGGATGGTGTCCACCAGTGGCGGCTTTGTTCTTGAAAAAATGCAAAATGAAAGCACCAACCGTGCAAAACCAAAAAACACAAGCAACAACCAAGTGCAAGAAAAGAGTGACAAAGAAAGCACAAACAATAAGTAAAAACACACACACACTTAAAACACTCTTTTACATGGTCAAACCAAAAGGTCAATGGAGGCAATGGCAGAAAACACGGGAGAAAAGCAAAGACACAAAGTACCAGGTCCATGATGTGTGCCTTAAAAGCCGTTGGTTCTCTGCCCAGCAATCTGCGAAACATCAAAGTCGCAGTCCAAGCGAAATGTAAAGCACAAGTCACAAGTCTTTTTTGGCAAGGGGCCGGGTAGGGTTAGTACTGGGTGAGGAAGAAAGGCCAAGAGTCAAGGGTCTGTCATTCCCGAAGCCCAGCTGACTGGTTTTCTGGTGCCGGGTCAAGTGTCGCACTTTTGGTCGTGTTGTTTGCAAAAGAGCGAAAACAAAAAACAGCATTAACAAGTGCGCCTAACAGTGCTGCCACCAAAAATGCCTGGCTGAGTGCAGAAACCTCAGGAACCATGTAGATGTCAGCCACCCCAAAGCTTTGTTGGAGGTGTACAGTTAGTCACCCAGTCGCTCACAGCTACAGTAGCTGTAGCAGTAATCAGTAGCAGTACAGTTAGTCACCACCTAGTAGTCGGTTATTCCAGATGGTTTTTCTTTCTTGGCTTTGCTTCGTAAGTAATTACCAGGTAACTCCCTTTTGTCAACTGATTGTCTGGTTGTCAGGCTGTTTGTTACGAGGGTATTGTCTTGCTTTTTACAAACATGCCGTGTTGTTTCATGTTTGTTTACAATTTTGTTTGCTTTTTTGTTTGTTTGTTTTGCAATGATGATTGCTTTTGCTTTTCTGGCTTCATTGTGTGATGCCCTTTTGTGCCTTGTTTTTACTTTTTATTGTTTCTCAAGATGAATAGATGAACAACTTCTAGAATTTTCAGGGCTTTGGGATGCTTTGGGCAAACATAGACCCTCATGCAATCGTCACATAGATCCAGTCCAGTCTGGGTTTTTCCCTCGTGCATAGATCGCCTACCAAGGCGCCCGCACTCGCTCCATCACCGGGTTGTGCACGCTGGGAACTTCCATTCCGAAGGCCATTTTCGAGCCAGTGGACTTGTTCGTGGACCTGGTCCCAACAGTTGCAGGGAACATCCTGACCGGTCCGAACCACGGAAATGACCACATGGACATGATGTGACCCACCTGGGGTGGGAGGTCGTTTCGACCAAATCCGAACCTGCCTTGGACTGTACAGATATGGGGCATGTGACCAAGTCCGGACCGAAAAACACAAGTGGGTGCTAGGGTAAAAGCATGTAAAAACACCGCATTCCCTCACCCCAACATACTATTGACTGCTGTATATATCACATATATATATATAGCACTGTAGAGAGGAAAAATGAGGAAACCAGAACATCTTCCGACCTGCTAGTTGCATCTTGTGGCAGGGTAACATCTACTTCCCAGCATCCAATTTTCACGACGAGTCTCATGTCAGCCCAAAAACATACACCTCAAGGGCCGCCGCAAGCGGACCAGGCTTCCACAACCTTCTCTTTATCCATGAGATCGCATGAGATCTACACCTGACCGCCCCATCCAGTGCCTGGATCCGGTGCCACAGCAAATGGGATCAAAGTCTGCAGGGCTGGCACTCACCGTGGCCGGGCTTGGCAGCACCAATTGCTCGCTCCGTCCCATGGCGTTCCACGCACACGGGACACGCGCACGGGACACGCGGAGAAAACGGGATGCACGTCCCGCTCTCCGTGAGAGATCGTGGATGGAGAGTCCCTGATCCGAAAGGCGCCGCAGGGGGAAGATTGGACCTAAGTGATCTTCCAAGTGGTCTGCTCAGACTGAAGATGTTTACAGTGTGTTTTATGTGACGGCGTCCGGGACGCGTTGAGTGTAAAAGATCATTTCGAGGACCCTGCCAGGCTCTGATACAAGGGACACCCACCGACCTTCCGAAAAGTTCAAACAAAGGAAGCATATCAGGGTCGTGCCCAGGTGAACCTTAAGCTGAAGCAGCTGCCGCTGCAGGTGTTTCATTGTACTGGATACCATTGATCGATCCATCGTCGGTCCACGTTCTCCCCTTTGAATTCTTCCCGTTCTCGGCCCCCACCGAGAGCTTCTTCTTGAGATCGTCGGAGGCGCACTCCAAGATGTCGAAGGTGTGCCTTAGCCGTCGAAGGTGTGCTTTCTTCTACTCCCCAGCGACACCCTTAAGAGAACTGGTCCAAGCCATAGTCGCCATAGTCATGTAACTAAATGCTCGAAGGATCTGACCACATAACGGTTTACATGGTGATACTCCCCTGCATGGAACCCCCAAACCACTGGGTTTGAGCGCAGTGGACGAAACCACGGGTCTCTCTTCTCAGGGTCCATGTAGAACATCTGCACGGGGGGTAGAATGTATGGACATCCCATGAGGGGCTCCAAGCACTCGTCAAGTCGCGCTGGGCCAATGACCATCCATTAAAGTCCGGCAGAAAGAATCGTATAGAAGAATTAATGACTCTTCCAGCAGTCACAAAGGGGTGCTATCCGTGGAGGTTAGGGGTGCCCATGATCCACTCACTTAGGGACTAAACACCACCCCTTTGTATCCCTTTGTGACTCCTGGTCTTGATGATATTTCAGTTGATTCACCTGGAAGCGATTTGAAAGCTCCAGAAAATCACCCAGCCCCATCAGCACAAAGTCAAGAGGCACGGCACAACAAAGGAAAAACACGTCACTGGTCCGCCCACGCACCCAATTGAAGTGTCCATCAATTCCCATCCCCACCTTTCCCAAAAACTGCTGTGAGCCGTCTCAGAAGTCTATGTTACACCACTACCACTCTAAAAACAAGTATCTCAAAACTCACCAGAAGCTGCCTTAGAAGGCTGGAATGGAGCAACTAAATTGTTCGTGCACCGTTGACCAATGGTGCAACCTGCAACTCCTTGTTCAGTGTGAGGCAAGACTTGATGCATCCTCTTGCAAGTTTGTTGTCAAACTTGGTCATACTACTTAAAGGTGTTCATCCAGCACCAGTTTGGATGGTGATTGGCTCGACTCATGGTGAGTCTGGTCGAAACAAACCAACCGATGTAACAGGTGGTATTGTCATTCTTATGGTTTCATTCAACGAGTCCCCCTGACAGGGAAGTAACAACAAACACGGCCAGGTGGACCCTGTGTTCCAGGGCCAGGCCGGGCGTTTTTCTTAAGCATGGACCGTCCCCGTTGCCCCAAAGTGGTGGGGATGTTGGGAAGGTTTACTCAGGGTGGATGGAACAAACACCGAGAACCTGAGTTGTGCGAGGCATGGATCCATGCCTCCTCCCGGTCACAGGCATGCAGTGAACGGTAGAATCACTAGCATTTCCCGGAAGTCTTCGGGGTCAATGGCGCTACAGTAACGGGACTCATGCACCACTTGGGATTTCAGCACAGTTGTAAACGCTAGCGAAAGAATAGAATACCATGAGTTTCATCCGAAGGCACCCAAAGTGTCATCAGCTTTGGCAGTGAACCCTGCCATGTCAAAACATATCATCCGATTTAAGATCGAATCCAACCGAAAGGCTCATGGACCCTCAAACTGCTACATGTTTGAGGTCCAAAACCCTGTGGGAGGGTCAAGACCCTGGGCCTTTCAGAGTGTTTGGGAAAGCAAGAAACAGGCGGTTCAAAATCTCGATGTGGTCTTCCTTCCTCCCGTCCGGTCTAACCACCCAGACCATGCCAAGACTCGTGAAGGCACATTTTCCTGAGGACCGATCACATGTATAATACATATGATGCATATATATATATATATACACCAGAGTATACACCAGGACCCCCTGTTTGGGTGGTTAATATACACCCCGAATCAGCTAAGGGGCGAAGAAACAGACACCCCGACAGGAGGGTCCTGGTATATACATATACATACGTATAGACTATTTGTATAGATATCAAAAATGATCAAATGTCTAAATATGGATATGGCACTGGGTTAAATATAAGGACCGCCATTTGTTGTTTGAAGTTCAGCTTGGTTCCAAGCTCAAACCAGTAGTTATGTTCTCACATGATATCCTGACCCCTTACTCTAGCTCCTCTATCGTCCACCCACGAAAAATAGACCACTAGGTGCTTCACCATGTCAACGGAAAGGACCTCCTCAAAAGCTCGCAGAAGGAGGTTTTTGTTCCAGCTGGGTGTGTATATGTGTGAATGACAATTGGGAGACCTCCCAGGCAACTGGCCATGAGTTTGGTTCCACTCTAATTGAATCTGAGACACTAAAGTCTACCTACATCTACCTACCTACCATAGTCTACCCATCTTGAGACCCCACCCAGAGAGAGCGACCTGTGACTCTTGGTGTTTGTTCCACCTCTTGGGGCTTGTGTTGATTACTAGTAGCGATAGCCTCCAAGCTTTCTTGCGATGGCCTCCACCTAGTAGCTTCTAGTTACTATAGAAAGCTATATACTTATTGTTCCTGTCTCTATCTCAAAGATGCCCAGATTGCTATGTGCCGATCCCATGTCACATGAAGGCACAGCGCATCGGTGCGCAGCGGAGTTCCTTTTTGTCAAAAAGGGCCTTAGTATGTCTGAGTTTCAAGGCAGCTGGCCAACGAAGTGAGCCACCAAAGAGGCTTGAGTTTCAAGGCAGCTGGCCAACGAAGTGAGCCACCAAAGAGGCTGACTGACAGCCATGACTGAAGAGAACGAAAGGCGCGAAATTTGCCGCCAAACGAATCAATCACTCCCCGGATGCACCAGGGAGGGCGGTGGGGGGAACTTGAGATGAAATCGCCGGGCATCACACTCTGCGGAACAAGTCAGCCTGAAGAGAAACATCCCTTAGCTTCCGAGAAGCTACCTTTTTTTTCATTGCTCCAAAAAGTTGTCTGCCAGCCTGTTTTTTGGCTTCCAGGTTTTTTATGTTAGAAGCCTCTGGAAGCCAAAAAAAAAGGCTTCTAGAAATCCAAAAAAGAGGCTTCTAGAAGCCAAAAAAAGAGGCTTCTAGAAGTCAAAAAATATAGCTTCTGGAAATGTATATCTATAGATATTCTTATATATTTATATAACATCATGATACATTTATGCGCTGCATCACTCTTTTGTCTATTTCATTTAGCCATTGCTGGCTTGGCTTGTCCAAGATGAGGGAATGGAGTGGCTGACATCCACCTCAGCAAGACCTTTTCAGAAGCCTTGCCAGGCTGGAATTTACCACCTCTGCGAAAAAATAAAGTTTGCAGTGACCCTGCAAATGTTTCATCCTTATAATTCCAGCTGTCTTTTGGACGGTTACCAAGCTCAACCAAATCCAAAATGTGGGCCAAGAGGTGGAGCTTGGGCTTTGATCTCCACAATCGAACCTCGGAGCCATCACTGGCTTGGACTTCTGCTTCTAAAGCCATGTACTGGCTGATGAATTTTCTTCCAGCCTTCACCAGTTCTTGTTTGTTGGAGGCTTCTAAACTGTTGTACATATGGCTGCAGTACTTGGCCACTTTGTAGACAGCTTTCTCATGCCAGGTGCCTTCATGCAGGCATTGTCTTTTGCACAATGGTTCGAGAAGGGGGCAAAAATCCCTGACTTCATGGGCCTTGCAATCCAAAACTGAGCTTTCTTTGGTTTGACTATATCCTTGACAGTCAACTTCTTGAGCCTTTTGCAGCCTGGAAAATCTCTTTCTTCATACATTTTTTGAATCTCTTGCCAGAGATTGGCACATCTTTCATCTTGAGAAGTGCCTGGAAAAGATGGCAGTAATTCTTTCAGAATTTGCCCTGCTGCCACAGCAAAACTGCCCTCATCACAAACATGCATCCAATCTGGCATGATGGTGCCATTACTGACATTGGGCAATTGAAACAAAGGATTGATTGACTTACCTCGATCCATGAGGAAAGTCAAGTAGGCATCCTTGTCCATGGTTTTCTCCAACCTAGCCATGCTCTGGCTCATTTACCTCCAGTTGTCTGGAGTGGCTTGGCACAGCCAGCAATTCCCTTTCTTCTCATTCCAAGTGCCTGCTCCAAAGTATTTACAATTCCAATCCCAATCAGATCGAATTTGGATGAGGGTTGCCTTCCCAGGCAGAGCTGCGCCTGCCCTAAATTTTCTGTAGGCATCATGCTTCAGCCAGGGTGAGCCATCATGTCTGGCTGTGGGAAAAGTGCCTTTGCTCAGCTCCAAAACAAAAATTCCACATATTGCTTGGATTGTTTCTGCTGCTATCATTCTGGTATCGAGGCAGCAGATAGGAATCCTCATAGCTGAGAAAGCTGGGCTGCATGGCAAATTCATGGACCAAACATCTAATGTGGATTGATTCATGTACAGGCACTCTGCCCAAGCTTTGACCTCATGAGGTCTCTCAGGCAACCCCAGCACTGCAGCTTCTGCCAGCTTGTTGAAGTCTGGGTCTTGTGGGTCAGCACCCTGCAACTTGGCTATCTGGTACTTAACCATCGATGACTTTGTCAGTCCATTTGAGCCTTTCCAGGCTTTGTTTGTGTACACTGCGACTGGCTGCAGATTCATCCAGAAGGAAAGTGTTGTAGTAAAACTCTCTTTTGGCTTGTTGGCTTCCATTGGCACATGCCTTGTCCCAGGCAGTCTTGAGGGCTGTGTCTCCAGCCTTGGCTTTCCTGGCAAGTTGCTGGTGCATGTCCTTCCAAGCATCTTTTGAAGGAGCAGGCAACTCCCCATCCTTCACTGCTCTAGCCTTTGCAGGCTTGGATTCAGTACTTGGGGCTTCCATAGCTGCTGCCTCAGAGGCTACAGAAGGAGTTGTTGCCTCTGGAATGGCAGAGCCACTGGCTTTTGCTTTTGCTTTTGCCATTGCTTTCTTCTTGGGGGTTGGTGGCTCCACCTTCACATCGGGAGCCTTTCTTTTTGCCATCTAGCTACAGACACTGGCCAGTTGTTTAAAGCTTGAGGTCAGAAAAATGGCTGCAGATTTTTTTGGGTGGGGTTGAAAAATGTGACCAGGAACTTTTTGGAACTTTCGGAACTTTTGGAATTTTTGATTTATATAAGAAAACAATATCTAGGAAGAGAAAGTTCCAAAAGTTCCATAGTCCAAAAGTTCCAAAAGTTCCTTTTTTACATCCCTTTTGAAGTACCACTGAAAGCAGGCAGGCGCACCTTTTTTTTCCAAAAACTCTCAGCTGCAGTGCTGGTAGAATGCCTTTTCAGGCAGGGTGCCATTGCTGGCAAGTTGCCATTGCTGGCATTTAAGGAGCAGCAACTGGTTCTGCTGCCCCTGCACCTCCAGTATCACCATCTTTTCCACCACTAGGATCCTTTTCCTGAGAGCCATTGTCTGGCTTTTCTTCCTTTGGCTGCTTCTTCCCTCTGGCTGTTTTGCTTCTCCTCCTGTTCTTTTTCTTTTTGCCTTGATCAGGCACTCCATCACCATCATCTTCTTCATCCTCCTCCCCCTCCTCATCCCCACCTTGAATGAGGGAGCCATCTGCTGGCATGTGCTCACATCTTGGTTTCCCATCTTTGCCTAACCTTGTCCCCACACTCTTCGACCTCTCCCTGCCATTGCCATCGCTGGCGCTGGAAGCCTTGCTCTTTCTTGTGCCCCCCTCGGCAGAGGAAGCCTCTTGGGCCCTCCTCTCTGCATCTTCCCTAGCAACAATGGCTAGCCGGTCTGCTTGTTGCTTTTCCCATTCATCCAACTTTGCTGGATCTTTTTCTTGGGCCATTTCCCTGGCTTTGCGATGCAATTCATACATTTGCCTCTTGAGAGCCTTATTCAGACTGTGGACCCTGGGCTTTAACTCCTCAGGGACTTCTTCACCTTTCCTTTCCAACTCTCTTCTTTGAGCTCTTCTTTTGGCAGAAGCCCTGCCATGAAACATCAGGGGCTCCTTTTGGTAAATTGACATTCACCAAAAAATACGGTTTGGATTCAGAGCCATCCCTGGCTCGGATGCAGCCCTTCTCCTTGAAGTTGCCCTTTTTGACCTAGCCAAAGCTGCAGCTTGCTACCCATGTGTTGTGGGTTGCCATGTGCACATGCTTTGCAGGCTTGGTAACTTTTGCAGTCTTGGGAGCCATTGCTGGCTTTTTTTGGGGGGTCATGCAGTTGGTAGGCCTTTTGTAGCTGCAATTCTTCCCATTTTTGGGTTTCAGCTTTTGAGGGGTCACTATACCAGATGAAGTGGAAGAAACTTCCTGTGTGCTGACCACAAAAGCTTCCTTTTCTTCACTGCCTGAGCTTTCGCTCTCCACCTTGGACTTTGTGCTGCTTGAGGCATTAAAATGTTTGATTTGGTGGCTGGAGCCTTTCCAGGCTGGGAGTCTTGCTTTTGAATTGTTGCCTTGTCATTTTCAGGCTGGGGGTCTTGCTTTTGAATTGCAGCCATTGCTGGCTCAGGGGCCATAAGAGAATCAGATGGCATGTGTGTTTTCCTTTTTAGCCTTCTTTCAGGCTGAGGCTGGGGTTCACTGGCGATGGGTGCCAAGCCCATGGCTTTCATCACTTGGAGGACTGCAGGGCTTGTCTTCTCTCCATTTTTCATATTTTTAGCTTTTTTGGTCAGCCATCTCTTGTATTGCACCAAGTGCTGAACGATCTCACCTCTGTCCAAATTTGACATTTTAGGGCAAGCAATTTGGAAAGAGAGCCTTGCTTCAGGCTTAGTGGGCTTTTCAGCAAACCAGACAGACAAAAAGGTTGCTTGCTTTGAAATAGCCATGTCTGGCTCAAGGGGAAAATCTGCCAAGCTACAATCCGGCACAAAGCCAGAGATGAGGCCAACCAATTTTTGTCATTCTTCCATCGCCTTTGGTCTGCTCCACTGGCAAAAGACGAGCCATTTCCAAAAAGATCTATGCTCTTGAGCTTGGGCTAGGTTGATGACATGGTTAGTAAATATATATCTATATATATATTCTTTTTAGTTTGTTAATGAGCTACCATTTCCAGAAGCTAAAAAAACAAGCTTCTAGAAGCCAAAAACCAAATTTCTAGAAGCCAAAAAAACAAGCTTCTAGAAGCCAAAAAAACAAGCTTGTAGAAGCCAAAAATTTTGGCTTCTGGAGTGCTAACATTAAAAAATACTGGAAGCTTGTTTTTTTGTCAGAAGCTAAAAAAAGTAGCTGGCAGACAGTTTTCAGAAGCTAAAAAAACAAGCTGCCAGACAAAAAAACCAGCTGGCAGTCAAAAAAATGGGCTTCCAAAACTGGCTTCCAGGAGGGTGGGAGCCAAAAAAACTAGCTGGCAGATAGAAAACAAAGCTTCTCGGAAGCTAAGGGATTGTTCCTGTCTCTATCTCAAAGATGCCCAGATTGCTATGTGCCGA